TCTCACCTGTGCTGCATTTTCATTTTTAAAAAGAAGACCGGAGAGGGCAATGCTTAATCTAAAAGGATGTACTGATAATGTTGTAGTGTCCACATCAAAGGCTGGAAGGAGAAAAAGAGGAATCCAGGCAATCTTTCCTATCACCAACAAGTCCACACATTAGTAGGCTATATCCATGCCAAGGTCAGCTCTGGCTTCCAGTTCAGAGAAGGGGGTCCTTTGCCATTAAAGTCAGTTTTCTCAACCTGTATTCCAAAATCAGTATTCTCAAAGTATGTGCTAAAGGAACACCAATCTCCTGCATATATTACAGCCCTCTTGGAGATTCGAAATGCATATTAGAAGTTCAGAGAAATTTTATGGGAAAGAACTTTAACATTAACCCAATTTTTCCCAAATGTCTTGAGCTTTGACACCTTTTCCCTAAATACTGCCAATTAGCATGGCAGGCAACCTATATACTATGGTACGCACTTTGATTAATTCTACATCGGTTTTTTAAAAATCAAATCCTGTGTCCTTCTTGATTTATTTCATTATTTCAGAAAGTTTTCTGTCTTTCCTTGTGTTGGCTCTACCTAACAGTTTAGTTTGTAATTTGATTTCTAAACCAAGATTGCAGTTTACTAGGAGCCCTTCTCTAAATGAAAAGAATGCTTGGTGAGTTATTTAGAAAAATGTAGCTTCTCTAAAAAGAATAATGTGGTTCTATGACATTACCTCTTTGTTCACTCATTCATCGCTCATTCATTTGTTCATTCACTCACCAGCTTATTCCCAGAAGTACAGGTGATAAATGCTGCCAATCAAAGGGGGAAAATTCACTGTGTTTGTGATAAATCCTAAAACAGAGATAAGAATAAGAATAGAAAAGCCCTATTTCTTTCCTGAGAAGGAAAGGGGGAAGTAGGCAAAGAAAAAAAGGTCAAAGCAAGGCTGGTAGTAGAGATTAAGAATTTGTATTATGAGTGAGAGAGACTCAACTCCAATTAGCTTAAGAAAAAAGAGGGGATGTATTGGCTCATTACTTGGGCAGTCCAAGGGAGGTACTGGCCTCGGGCTCTGTTTACTTCCTTCTGTCTCTCATCTCTGTTTTCCTCTCTGTAGTTTTAGCCACTGCCAGAACAGGCAGGCTTTTTCCATGAGACAAGGACAGCAGTCCTCATTCATTCACATCCTCCCAGCAATGTGACCAAAAAGGCAAGACCCCTTCTCTGGCTCTCTCTCAGGCAGTCTTAGAAGATTTTCACACCCCAACCAACCTTAACCCTCCATTCTCAGACCTATACCTAAGGCTAGGGCCCAGGTGCCCCTTAGCTTGCAGCTTTGAGTTAGTTCCTCCTAAGGCCCACAGGAACCTTAGGGCAATGTTGGAGGTGGCACAGCTGATCACATCTCTAATTTCACACAGTGAAATGGAAGATGAAATTTCTGAAAAGCAACATAGAGGTTGCGTGAAATTTCAGAGAGTTAACTTTCAGGAGTAAGTCTTCTTCGTTTTGTTTTGTTTTTTCGTTCCAGGTGGCAAGGTAGACAGCTCACAGGTGTAACTGTATTTTTCTTTTCTTACACATTTTTTATTTTCTGCTCTACATTCACCTTTTCTTCTGAGGGAAAGGTAAAACCACTGCTTTCAAGAGGGAAAAATAATCAGTTATGGTACTAACAGGGTATGTATTAAAGAATCAGAAAATCTTACCTATTCTATTTGAGGTTTTTTTCATTACTTTACTGACTTCTTCCAACTCCAATGTCTTAGTGTGACATCAAGTACTATTGAGTTTTCATCCAGTAAGGCATAAAGAAAATCCATGAGCTTATGAAATTGCTCATCTCCAAAAAAAAAACTAAAATAAGTAAACTGATTGCTTAACCAATGAAGCGATTTTACACACATACACACACAATACTATCTGTATGAATATGCTTACACACACCAGATTTCTTTAACAATGGGTCAAAATTCTTAGACTTCACAGTCCTTAATAAGGATTCTTGAGCTTTGTCTTCATAAGGCAAATTTAATTCTACAATTTCCATTTTATTGTTTCACAAATTGTGCTCTGGGAACTGCATACATCAAAATTGCATGGGGGCTTGTTAAAACGCATATGCCTAGATGGGACTCCATATCAGTTCAACAGGAATCTCGTTAGAGAAAGTTTCCTAGGAATCCTTGTTTTTAAGCTTCCCAAATGATACTTCTGCACCTTAAAATATAAGAACCCATGTTCTAGAATTTTGGAGAATTTTATTAGGATTTCTGAGTTGTATTGTCAGATATTTTTATATCTCTAAGGCAGAATAAACTTCTTGTGAATTCCATGAACTTTCATTTGTCAGTAAACTATAATTAGCAATGCTTGTGGGTCATAGTCTTTGGAAGTTCTGTGACAAAAGTAACTATAAGCATAGTTATATGGCATAGAAGTTCTTCAGATTTAAAAATATTCATCCTAAACAGGTCACATTAATGAGTATGATGAGTAAATTCCATTGTGATAATAACAAACAATTCAATGTGATTTTGTTATAATAGGTACATTGCAAGAATCTATGTGATAAAGATCCAACTGAAATTAATCAGAGAGAAAAATTTTATGAAAACTCATTACAGTTACAAGTTTTCTTTCAAATGAATTTTACCTCTTCATAAACGGGACTTTATTTACAACCCAACACAAGCACTAAGAAATCAATATACACAATCCAACTCCTTCCACCAGCAATACAATAAGAGCTGCTCACAAAGGCCGCACAATTTAGAGCTAGAAGAACCTTAGGGGTTGTGAACTCCAACCCCTCTTCCTACAGATGAAGAAATTGAAGACCAGTCACACGGTTGACAACAGAAAAGGAAGGAAAATCCAGGTGTCCTAACTGCTCAATCCTTCTCCTACTGGAGTTTGAGTAGTCCCCAAAAATACCCAAGCACAGAATCAAATGGTTCTTCAGGGGCGGGTGGGGGCAACCATTCTTTTTATGTAACAGATAGGCTATGGAGTTAAAAAAAAAAAAAAAAAAAAAGGCCACATAAAACATAAAACTTGAAATAAATGCCATTCGGCCACCTTGAGCTATTCATTCTTTCTCTCCTGCAATTCAGGCTACATGGCAGAAGTTTTTGAAAAGCCCAAGGCTATCCCAACTTCACTAGCAAAATCCGACAAAACTAAAAGAGGAAGGAAAATGTGACCCCAGAATGGTCAGGGGTAATTACTTGATACCTATCTAGATAGACCCAGTGTGATTGAGAACAAATCAAGCAAGGTTGTTAGTTCTTCTCAGATGATTTATTGAGTATGTGCTATAGGTCTACATGTGGGTTTCATTTATTTATTCTGTTATTCAACAATATATACTGAGTACTCAGTAGGAGCTAGAAGCTATGACATGCCCTAGTGATACTAAAATAAATGAATAAGAAGAAACAAAATCAAAGCCATAATCACAGTGCATTTTATTACTCTATAGAATCAGGTACTACGGCCACAATTACTCAGCTAGGTTGAGTCAGAGAAAGCTTTACAGTGGAAATGGCATTGGGCTGAGTCTTGATGGACAACCAAGAGTTTACCTAATGGAATACGGAAAAGGAAGAGAAAATCATTCCAGGTCAGGGGAAAAGCAAATGCAGAGGTATGAGAACAGCTGGGGCAGAATAAGCAGTTGGAGACAGAGATATAGAAGACAGACAATCATATAGACATAAGCTCTGTTTTCATGCCATCTAACACAATGTTGTCATCTAGCAAAGCCAACTTTTTTTTTAATAATTAAAAAAAAAAATCCACCTTCTTTGGACAAGGGACTCAGGCTTCAAAATAGAAAAAAAAAAAAAAATCTGTTTTTACTTTCTATCTGTAGAGACTTAGGGATCTTCCCAGAACTCAAAGTCCAGAAAGACTTCTAGGATTTCCGGAATCCAAATCCTTGGAAGGAGGGATAAAGAAGTGTTTTAATGATTAAGTCGAATAGGGGAAATTATGCATCCCCAGGTTTACCATAAATTTTTGTCTCCTTTCCAAGTCCTTGGTATGTAAATCATATAGTAATTTTTTACATTTGTGAGGAAAAGCGGTGACAGACATGAGTTCAAATAGGTTTCTGCTACTTACACACTGTATGACTAAGGGGAAGTCATACCTCTCAGGACATCATTTTTCTGGTTGTAACACCTACTAGTTCATTCTGAAGCTTAGACATAAGGTGAGGGAGAGCATCTGCCACAGATCTAGCCTATCCTGGGCCTCCCACTGGGGTAACTGCTGTGTAGTATAGCAGTTTCATTCGTTCAACAAATCTTTATTGAGGACTTACCATGTAGAAGCCAGAAGGAATACAAAAATAAATTTGAACTGGATTTTGCTCTCTAGGACCTCACAATCTATAGTGGAGATATAGAACAGGCTCAAATCACTATAATATAAGGAAGAAGAAGGCGGTCACTACCAAGAGAATACAGAGAAATGACTGGGGAAGTTGGGAGGACAGAGATTACTTGTAGTGTGGAGGAAGATGGTAGGGCAGAAAGAATGGATTTAAGGCTGAGAATGAAAAAGAGAAGTTTCTGAGCTGGGCACTTTCACCCCTTCTGATGTGGGCATGGAGAGTATCTGGCTGCCCCTCCCAGAGATGAAATAAGGGGTTCAGGAAGTGACACAACTCACTCACCTTCACACTCATAGTTCAGCAGAGCCAAGACGAGAACTCAGAACTCCCCGCCCCCTTATCCAAAGCAAGCACCATTAGCACAGTGTACCTCCTAGAACTAGGGCTATCTGCAGATGCAGAGACGGGGCAGTCCAGGGAAAGCAGCAGTAAAGAAGTGATGGGGTCACTGAACACTGTCCCATGTCCAGGAAGAGCAGAGACTCAGCGCCCTATGGGAGGAGGGCCAAGGGGCGGGGAGAGGGGCGCGGGCCTACTCCGGGGCTGTCCAAGGCACCCGCCCAGCCCAGCCCAGCCCAGCCGCAAGGGCCCGCATTCAGGTTCTACCGCCATGGGGTGGCGGTCCTCGGCGCTGCGGCCGCTGCCGGGGCTGCTGCTGCTGCTGCCGCTGTCACTGCCACGAGCCCTCTGCCCCGAGCCCTGCAGCTGCCCGCCCGACGGCGCCCTGCGCTGCCCTGGCCCACGGGCCGGCCTCACCCGACTGTGAGTACGCGGTGCCCCGGATCCGGGATCCTAGCTCATTCTCGGTCACCTTGCCTCTCGACTTTTTGGCCCCTTTATTCTGGAAGCTTGGAGAAAGACACTTTACCCTATCAACTCCACCTTTTAAGGTGATGAGAAGCCAAAACTTGGGGGCTGTCTTTACCATTCTCTGCCACGCCCTGGATTTGGGCCCCACCTGGTGGTGCACCCTCCAGCTCCTAGCGCCCCAGGTTCGCCCTTTCTTCTGTGTTGGTGCCAGGTGTGGAACTGCCTAGACGCCGCAGGGGAAGCCCTTGCACCCTGCCGCTGCTGGAAGGGGTGCAGCTGTCTCTGCCCAGAGAAGTCTTGCGTGGTCTTTGAGCCTTGGGCCAGCCAGGTGGGAGAAAGTTACTGTGACCTCTGGCATCCTGTGGTCCTCCAGAAAAGGGTGTTCACGCCCTGTGGCCAAGGGTGATCTGGTCATTCAACAGAGACTGGTGGGGAGCTGCCTCTCCTAACCACTGCCCACCTACACCTTAAAGAGTATACAAGCCCCAGGCATACTTGCATTTCAGTCTGATTGCCTAATCAATGAAAAGCCTTGAGCCCACCCCTGGCACAGCACCACTGCCTCTACACTCACAGAGGTGATTAAGAGGTGATCAGCAAGCAGGTGGAGGAAGTTGTTTGCTGAAATGATGGGGTCAAGAGAAGGGGGAGCCTTTAGTATTAGTACATCAGTGTCACTAAGTCTCCTTTCTTCAGTTTAGAAAAAGGTGCCACACATAACATAATTTTATTTATATGAAATGTCCAGGTAGACAGAAAGTAGATTTGTAGCTGCCATGCTAATGAATGTGGCCTTTTGAGGTGACAAAAATTATCTAAATTAGATTATGGTGATGGTTGCACAACTCCATGAATATGCTAAAAACCATTGCACTGTATACTTTAAATGGGTGGATTTTATGCCATATGAATCACACTTCCATACAGTTGTTAAAAGAGAAAGGGAAAGAAGAATAGTACTGTAATGGTATCCAAAAGGCGCCAGGCTGGTGGAGGTCTTGGTTATGTTCTAAGGATTAGAGGTGATGGAATTCCATGCTGAGGGAGGAAAAGACACCCCCTCCCTTAATTTCCTTGGGCCCCCAGCAGTCTGTCAGAGGCCAGCTTCACAGAGGGGATCCCCTCCCTGCTGAGGGCCTGAACTTCTCCCCTGGAAGAGTTAGTGGACTTCAGGAATATTTGTGGTTGACAGATACAGTTTAAAGGTTGAGGGGTTTATATTAATTACTTTCCATTAATTATCTTGTCGGCTCACTTCCCTGAAGGTGAGGACCATGCTGATAGAATCTGTTTCAGTCAATCAACAAATCCATGGAACCTGCCTTCCAAGTCCCAGCCCTTGTCCTTCTCTGACAAGCCTCTTTCTCATCTTGCTCTTATGAATGATTGTGCCACTAACAGTCTTTCTCACTCGCCTGGTATTCATCATACAGATTACAAGACACTGAGATGCAAAGAGATGGAATAACCTACCCAAAGGCCCATAGCTATGGAGTAGCAAAGATGACACTTCATCTGTTAATTATCTTTTTATATTTTATAGTTAATTTTCTTAGTAAGAAAATTAACCCTCCCCCTTTATATATGTATATAATTTTTTCCCAGCTTCTCCAAAGTTGGCACAGGTGGAGAACCCCCTGGTGGGAGGCAGGAATGGGTAGACCAAGTCGCACCTCCTTTTAGATTAAGCTTTTCACTGAGGTCCCTCAATAGTTCCTCCTGCCACACCCATGGTGGCCTCAGGAATGTATCTTGTCCCTGGAGAAGACCAACGTAAAAAAAAAAAAAACAAAACAAAACAAATCCTCTTCTTGCCCCACAGCACAGTTTAGAGAAGCCTAGCCCCTCAAAAAGATTGTAAAAGGCTGACTAGATTTGGGGGTAGAGATGGGAAGCAGGCACAATATAAATACTGCTAGCATGCTGAAGCTGGCTAGTCCCACTCCCAAAAAGAAGCTAGTTGTCCAGGCTCTGAAGCCCTTTGCCATTCCTGTGGGACTCTGGAGAATCTTTGACTTCCTCCCTTCACATGTACTACCTTGGCATCCACACCAGGAGCATCTCCTCCTAGACATTTAGACCTCTTAGTCAACAAGCGTGCTGACCCTCACAAGATCAGGCTTCCTGAGGACCAGACAATTGAAAGATGAGCTGATCCTTCAGGTGAGAACACTATGGAGATAGTGCCAATAAAGGTCAAAACAGGATAACTTTTCAGCATGATATGCTGATTTCAACATCCATATGACAAAAAAGATGCGTAAGAAGGAATAGGAAGGTAGTAACTTTAACGCAATGTTCCTCAAAATGTGGTCCCAGATGAGCAGCATGAGCGTCCCTGAGAAATGTTAGAAATGCACACTCTCAAGCCCCAGCCCCAATCTACTGAATCAGAAACTCTGGGGGTGTGGCACAGCAGTCTGTTTTAACAAACTCCCCAGGTGATTCTGATGCATGCTAAAGTTTGAGGACCAAGGTATTGCTCTCCACAGAGGGTATAACCTTCTAGAAAGTAAGAAGTATGTTTTAAACTTCCTTTGCCATACAATTCCCCATTCCCCATTCCCTACCCCTATACACACATACATAATACCTATTTATTGCAAAAGGCAGCTATGATCAAATTGAAACCCCAAACTCTGAGACATATGGAAAACGAACAGGATTAAGAAAAGTTTTTTTTTTCCTTCTTCAAAGAAGAATAGGGGAAGGAATCCATGGAGGACAGACACTGACAATACAAGGGATGGGAAAGAATAAGACTTGATGGGGTAGGATCTCAGTGTGGGTAGGAGGAGAGTATCAGTCTCGGATCACAGAGGAGGGATTAATCTAAATCTGGGTCCTGGAGAAAGAAGGCAGTTGGATAAAGGTATAATCCAACATTGAGGCGAAGGACAGGAAAAGTGAACGAGTTCATGCTAAAGTCCTCTTTTCTTAATGATGAATGAATGAAATGTAAACAGTAATTACAAGATAGACAAATGCTATGAGTGACAAGTTATCAGGAGCTCGTAAAAAGAAGAGAGCTGAAATTATGAGGTAAGGCTTCCAGACGAGAGAGATGTGGTCTTGCACTAAGTTATCCACAGGATTTGACTGTGCAAAGAGAAGAGGAGCACTCGGTTCTGGAGGATGGAGGAAGCAGGTACCACAGACAACCTCAGAATGCATCATCATCTCTCAGGAGATGCTAGTTTATGTTTTAATCATTTATGCCTTGGTAGTCCTGTCTTTTAAGACCTCCAACTAAAGTTCACTATTCGGTTTAAAAAAAAAAAAAGGACTTTAGATTGCGATTGCTTCTCATTGACAAGCCTACCGCTTGCAAATTTTGAAAATGGCATAGTTCAATTGTTCATATCTTTCCACCCTTTCAACGTTTTATTAAAACTTATGTATTTAAAATCTAAAATGTGACACTAAACAAGAAAGAAAAAAAATAATTAAAAATTAAAAATTTTTAAAATAAAATCATATACAAAAAATAGCCTCCCACATTTTCACTCATTTTAATGGAGGAATAAAAAACTAATAGAAAAAATTGATTTAAACAATTTGCTTTCCTTTTCTTATTAGTTCCAGACAACTGGAAGGGAGAGGGGGAAAAAAACTCACCTTGCCCACAGTTATATAAAGATCTTTGTCTCTATGACAACAGAAAGGCTGATTTGCTTGAGACAGAAACAGCTCCTAAAAAATCTGTTAGTAAGAAAAACACTAATAATAATTACAGCAATTTATTTTTTGCATGTTGTTCCTACAGAACAGAGATTAAACTTTTAGATTTTATTATAAGACATGATCCAGATACGTTGGAAGAATAAAATGTGCTGTATCCATGACTCCAGTGTCACAGGAAGATGTTGGAATCCTGACATCTTTCCTGAATGTCTTTCTCCTTCTTCCACCTTTAGTGGAAATCTGGGTCCAGAATAGTGTTCAAAGTTGTACAGGGATGTGCAGGAGAGGGCATGGTCCCAGCCTTGAGGAGCCCACAGTACAGTGGAAACACGCCCAAGAGACTGGTGTGGCAGGGAGAGAGGCAACAAGGCCCTTAAAGAAATCAGAGCGTAGATCAATCACTATGGTCTGAAAACTTTAAAGGAAGACTTCACAGGCCAAGGGTCATGATGCTGAACCTTGAAGGAGAGAAGGGAAGAGTCCAGGTAGAAGGACCACAGGTTACAGTAGACTAGAAAAGCACAGAATAAGGTTGATTGGATTCTTCTTTTATTATGCCTCTCCCAGGCTCTCTGAGGGAATTTTTTTAAGGGAAGATATAAAGTCATCAAAAACATTTGATTAAATTACCCAGAGGGTTGTGCAAAAAGAAAAAACAATCTCAATATGTAGTTCTTAACTAATAAACTTTCAATCAAAGTCATTCTTTAATAGTTACAAAGCCATTAAGTAAACATTCATGATTTGGAGTCACTTCCCCATGAAGCTTTCCCCAATGTCCCCTCCCTCCCATACACACATATTTGCTTTGATACCTTGCACTTACATATATTTTTGCATATAGGCCACCACGATGTAACCATTTATTGTGTATGCCTCTTTTGCTAGAACAGGGTTTCTCAACTTCATAATTAAAATTTGGGGTCAGAATCATTTGTTGTGGAGAGCTGTTTTGTACACTGTGGGATGCTTAGCAGCATCCCTGGCCTTTACCTTCTGGATGCCAATAGCGCTGTCCTCCCAAATTGTGACAACCAAAATGTTTCTAGACATTTGCCAAATGCCTCTTCGGGGTAAAATCTGCCTGCCTTGGACTTGAATCATTGTGCTAGAGTGAGAACCACTTAAAAAGGTCTTATTCAATTCAGGATTCCCAGAATTTCTCAGGTAGTATGATGAAAGTTTTTACTGAGCTACGTACATAATGGTCAAACTGTTTAGACAGCTGAATAGGAACAATGAACCAATGCCAAAAGGAAACCCATCTT